CACCCCCCAACCTTCCTTTTTTTAAATCCCACAATACCTACCTCTTCGTAAAGCAAAAAGGTTATTTTTCATGCCAAACCTCTCCACAAAGACTGATCTACAATAGAAACAGACCTGTTTGGGGGGAGAATCGGGGAAAGTGCTCACACATCTAAAGAGGAAAAAAGATTGGGAAATATTGGAACTAGAGTCTCACACACCACAGTCCAGCATGTCACCATCTGAACTATCATCACACCCACCTCTTTAGTTCTATATTAAGGCTATAATTATTGTTATTTTTATTCTAATGTCCTTGATGTAGGGTTGTAAATCACAGAGAATCAGTCAGGTGACCAACCATGCCGAGGTCCAAAAAAAATGTAATAGTAGGTATTTTAAGACCTTTTTGGGGTAATATGTACAGTAGTAACACTAACAGTGGGAAGTAGGAGAAGCGGCAGGCCACACGAGTGTGCCGACCAACTTGCTGTAAGCACACCTTAGCTGTATGACAAGCTGTCTGCAGGGATTAGGACAAGAGGGGTTTGGTTTGGTTTGGTTAGGGTTTTAATTCTACCATATATTTGCCTAGAAGGCGTGGGAGGGGAGTATTCTTATAAATAAAACAACCAATGGAGTTACTTAAAACAGCAATAAAACTGAATATTTAAGATGAAAGGTACAGATGCAAATTGTGCATCTGAATTAAGTGCAGATGCCATATACCTTTTTACCGGTGAATTTTTGCAAAGACAAAAACAAACAAACAAACAAACAAACAAACAAACAGTCAACCTTCTTGTTCGGAAGTACGAGGAAAAGAAATACCCCAATGGCAGCCAACATCATTTTCTAAATATGTAGAAAGTTTGTTTTGTTTTTTTAATTTCAAAACTTTGGATTTGAGGGAGGCAGGGAAGAGTGTTAAAGTCTGCCCTTCGAAACGAAAAAAATAGATTACAACAAATTATTATTAGAAAGAAGCAGGGGAGAAAACTGCGCAGACCTTCTGAGGCTCTCAAAGTATAGATCTACAACAAAAAGTCATCTCCCAAGGCTAGCGAAGTCGGTAGCGCCTCTTTCATCAAGGGCCAGTTTGTGTGCCTGCGGTTTTAGCAGGGGAGTGAGGACATTATAATCTGCTTTTGATCACCGACTTCGTGGTCCGAGTCATCCTACGGCGTGTGGGGTGTCGCTGATCTCATGCTCAGCCCAAAAATATTCTCAGAATAATATCGTGACATGGATTAATGTGTGTTTATAGCGTTGCTTTTCTGATGTAAGCAGAATAATGTAGACTTACTTCTAATAATACATGCCTAATTGAGTGTTCTGAGATAGGGAATTTTTCCTTTTGAAAGGAACATTATGAAACCGAAATAGAGCCGACTGTCAATTTTGTTTTAGCTTTAAGGTTCTTAAGTTTACACATTAAATACCTTTTTCTGTCTGTAAATGTTTTGTTGGGCTTTTGTTGTTGTTGTTTTTGTTTGGGTTTTGTTGTTGTTGTTGTTGTTGTTGTTGTTGTATTTTCTTCTTTTTGGGGGGGGGGCTGGTAGTTTATTTTGTTTCGTTTTAGACTTTCTTGTTTGGTTGGTTTGTTTTGATTTGGTTTTGTTTTTTAAAAGTTAAAACAATTTCTTCATTTCATGTCCTATACGAATCACGAGATAGGGGCGCTGGCTTGACACATATATTATTTGTTTCAATATACATGTATTTCGATATTCAACCATACCCCTACTCGACGGAATGTTCTTCAGTCGTAACTTATCATGCAAAGTATTTTGTTGACTATGTGCTTCAGTTCACATTTTTGGGGGATTTGAACTAAGATCACCCGTATCACAACCCAGCGTGTTATAAACCGAGTTAGCTGCTCGCTGAATATCTTAAAAGTTCGGTATTTGGCGGTAAAACTCCCC